CCCACAAAATGCTTTTTACCTCCCCCCTGATGAGAACACAGTCTTCTCCCTCAGTAGCCACCACAGGTCTTCCATACTCCCAGCTGGTGAAGCTGACTGTAGAGTGGTCACTCCAGTCAAACAGCCCCTCTGTTTTCCTGTCATTCAGTCCAATCCAAAGCTCATCGTGGGATGCTATAGACATAAACATCGATGAATATCCCGATGAGTTTTAAATGCTCTTTACATCGTTATTGATAATTATTGGTTTAAATTATCCTATAACAAAAAACAGACCAGCAGACTCTTGATTGTTTGAGAACATTGGACTGTCTTCATATCTTTAGCTTCCTCACTTACCATATCCTAGTTGAGAGATGACAAAGCTATGGTCCTCCAAATTGCGGATGCTGACCAGGTCCCCTCTCTCTTTGCGGCACTCTATCTGTGCATTTGACCATGTTTGTAAAGAACGCTGAAGGTGGAAACAGTGACCATTGTAGGGAATCCATGGGCTTGAACAAAATCCTTGCTCAACTGATGAGAAAAAGAATATATGAATACAGATATGAGGGATTGAATGACAGTGAGCTTGGGTGGAGGGTGGAATATTTTTGTTTACTTAGCGGTGGAGTGGTTGTGACCCCGTCTTTGTAGCAGATATAGCCCAGTCTCTTCCCACAGGATGAACTCTCCCACAAGTGCTGACCGACAGTGTCAAGAAATCCACAGTTGTGTCCTGGATTAGGAAGTGGGTTTCCTTGAAAAGGAGAAAAAGATGATGGTTTAACTTGAGATTGCTTCTGTAGAATAGTGGAGATTCACATTCGTATTGTCCTTCTATTACCAGTGTTTTACTTATATCCAATCTTAACTGTAAGATACAACATTTCATGTTATCCAGCACAATGGATGGTAACTAAATTATAAGCATATCTGATCATATGAAAATAAATTGCAGAAAACATACATATGGGTTTACCTTGTTGAAAAAAAACGAACCTCCCCATTTCATAGAGGCTATGAGCTTGTTATAAAACAGTTTGTCTACACATCCAGTTAACAAAATAACATAAACTTTTATATACATTTGCCACATGACAAACGTAGGTCCAATAAAGCCCCACATGCCTCTCCATTAATTCCTGAGGGAAATTCTTAGCTTTTTATCAGCGGGTTGCTAACTTTCCCCTGTGTGGTCATGAGTAAATTGAGTTTTGTGGGTTTATCAATACAGCTAACAATATCTGGAAACGATGCTGTGTAAATGATCCATGGTCATTAAGGTAACTCCAGCTGAGCATTTTAAATCTTGTTAACTGGAGTGGAGACTTACCTGAACTCCATCTCACGTAGCGGAAAGGCTTCCCATTGGACCACTGCCAGCCATGCTCTGGGTCCAGAACCACCCCAATCCAGAGTTTATTTTTCAAAGTTCCTAGGAGTGCTGTGTGTTTGTGTGGTAGAGAGGGACGGTTAAAAAAGGAAATGGACAGGGTAAAGAAATTGTTCCTCTTTTTCACATTGTTCCTTTTTTTCGTTGCGCAATAACAAATCCATAAAAAGTCAGAAATCACAGGCCTATAACTCTTGTCTCTTTTATCCAGTTGAATAATATTTTGTGTGTTTCAGTTTTTAGAAAGAGTCATGATCTTTGTGTCGGTGCAGTCATATGTGTCCTAAAACATGGAACATTAATATTTATGTTTCTCTATGTTGCGCTGTTCTCTCCATTCAAGTAAAATGTAAAGTGTTTCCAACACAATGTGATGATTAAGGGTCCTTTGAATTAACAGTAAATTTCATTTTCACCAGAATAGATCTGATAGTAATTACATAAAACATTTGATCCCATTGTGACCAATTCTCAATAATGTGTGCGTAAACAAACAAACCCCTCAATATACACTATATGTGTTTCAATAACAGTAAATATCCACCGGGTGGCACCTTACCTGAGATAAAAGCCTGTTCGTTGGGATCTGTGACACTGACCAGGGCAGCACCCTGTTGTTTGCAGCTGACTTCAGCTTGCGGCCATGTTAGTGCTGCCTGAGTGTTGAGCTGGTAATATGATCCTGATATGAGGTTTTTCGGCCAGTGGTCTGTGGCTGATCATTGACACAGAAATGACAAGCTATAGTTAGTCTAACATTTAAATGAATCATTTCAACCAAAAATTGAGGTCTTATACTGCCTCACATTAGGGGTCTAACATAGTTGTGGGTGAAAAGTATTCTTCCTAAAGATTCATATAATGCTTAAGTATACAAGATTCAATTCCTTTGTACTTCATTTCGCAAGATTTACGTCCTGAAAACAGTACTCACAAATAGTCGGGCAGTATCCCCACAGTTCATGTTCATATTTTGTTTCAACTGCACACCAAAGTCGCTTTTGTGAGGAGTCGTACGTAGTGCAATCCGCAAACCACCGGTCTTTGTACATGAAGGGAAACATGCAGATCTTGCCAAACGCATTTCCTTCAATGGTATAAAGTTCTAAAAGAGAAAATCACAGACAATATAACAGAAAAATAACATCTGCTTAAATTGCACTGTCACAAATGTTTCTGCATGGGTGTATTTTTCAGGGCATACTAATTCATTTGATTGTTGTGTGCTGTATTCACTATTGATTTACTCCAGACATGCACAGCCAAAGTTTAATGTCAAGAAGCTTGAATCATTTTTCTGATTAGTTATCTGATAAGTCCAGTAAAAATCAGGAGTTGTCCGTTAATAATCTGTCCATGGGGGCCTATTGCAGCCAAAGAGAATCATATGAGCAAATTAAAACTGTGGTCTTCACTGTCATGGCTATACAATACTAGTGCCCTCCAAAGCAGTGGTTTTCATACTATACCTCTGTATGTTCTTGTGCAAGCACCGCTGGATGACCCCTGGATTGTGAAGTGGTTATTTGGCCCAATTGTTTTGGAGAGAGCAATTGATTCATCAGCTTTGACTTCAATGTAGAGCTCTTTGCCTTTAAGGGCGATCAGTGTGTTGTTCTTGCATTCCCACTTCTGGAGGTCAGTTTTGTCATCACAGTCGTAGAGGCTCACTTCGCTCCCCACACTTTTTCCCTGTGCTCCCAGGCACTTTTTGGTCGTGAGAGCGAAAAGCCGATTACCGGTCGTCCAACGGATGTCAAGGCAACGGTTAAATTTTTTCATCAGACAATGCCCAGTGGCTTTGTTGCTGAGAGAGAATTGGGCATCTGCAGAGAGTATAAAGTTATAAACGTGAATAAAATCGGTTAAAATGATGCTCCATACAATCATCAAAGTCATATTTTGACCAGCTGGCATCGCATGCATAGGTTTTAGTTGCCATTTGTATTTTAAACTTGCCTTATAATAAATCTAAAAGACTTCTAGTTTCTGAAGATAGATACTGAAGCTTCTCTTTTTAAACACATGCTTCCTGTTCAACTTCGACAGACTACAGTTGCATTCCTTGAAACAACTGTCAATGCAGTCTATCACTGCAGTTTTTGCATACCAAATACAAATTAAACCAAAGGTTAAATAGAAGATATCAATTTATCATCATCACTTTTTGTTTTTGAATATTTCCACACCGAATGCAAAATAAATCTTGAGTTCATACTATACCGTTAGCTGTTGAACAGTGAGACGTTAGGACGAAGAGTGCAAAGGCTCCTAGCGTTATCCTTGGGGTAAGCATTCTTCTGGTAAGTCTCACAGCAGCAGACATTGTCCACGCATTGCAAGCAAAGGACTAATGAGCGTGAACGTGAAAAGGAGGGAATCTTAATAGCACTGACGCTGTCACTTTTTTACCCCCTTTTCAATGAGTAAGTGTCATGATTCTGATTGGCACATTTCAGCATTTTGCTACTAGTACAAAAAAGGGTGGGTGGGAGTGAAGTAGGTGCAACATACACACATTCACTTTTTTTTTTCTTGCACAGATGTCACACTCCAGAAAGGACAAGAAGTGGCCCCATTCACTTCCTGTCCAGTGAAGAAGGAAGAAGAGATCCGTCGTAAGCATGACTCTTCAGATTAAGTGGACCAGACCAACGTCTGTACAGACTCTTATTACTAAAAGCTTACAGTGAATACTAGAACTGCACTGATTTGTCTGACTTGGTTGACTTGTCTCATTGAATCTGCCGTTGCACGATTATGAGCTCTCCCGACTGTTGAGCCACACCATCTGTGCCATCAAACCAACCTACCATGGAAATGTTTACTCCTCTGTGTACTCCTCAAATTCTATGCTGTAAAAGTTCGACAAACGAAAACAAGTATTATTGCACTCAGTGGTTTACTCCCACATAAATCTGAGAAACCACCCAGCAAGAAGCTTGTGTTGCATGGTTGGCAAGCGAGCTCTAAGGTTATTCAGAAATGTCTGAAGAAGAGGATAAAGTAGACAAAGTAGCGGTAATGCAGCTTGACGTTGGTGCACCTGGAAATAAACCAAACAAAGAAGAAGAACGTCTTGTCAAAATCTCTTTTCTACTTTGTGTTAACTTTTTGGTAAACTCATACGGGGTAATGGGTAAATTATATTTCCAAACAACATGATCAAAACTGTAATGCTAAGAAAGACTAAACGTGTGACTGATAACATGAAAATGTTCTGATATAGGTGTAAAGATGCAATGGTTAGTTGTGGGGTTATGAGACCAGGTTAGTAGACCAGAGTTATATTGCATTGTTGCTGATTGGGAACATTGTGTGCATCCTGAGTGTAGCAACACAATATCCTGTTTTGGGCCAGAGGCTTTCAGATGTTGAGGTTTGTTCTCCAACTCTTCCTTTACATCTTTCATAGCATTTTGTATTCTCACTTCCTCTTTGGTTATTCTCCTTTCTGCTTGAGAGGTCTGTGCTGAAATATAAAAATTTGTGACTGCAATGACAGCTCATATACAGGAAGAGTAGGACTAGTCCACATTGATAAAGCATTGTTGGTGGCGATTTGCACTGTTGTCGTATATGTGTGTGCATGCATGTGTGTGCGTATGTCTCTCTATATTTATCAAGACCAATTTTTTCAATGCCATCATTTTGAGGCCATTTTGAATTTTTTTGGTGCGTCTTCACAAATTCAGTGGGATGTTTAAGGGTTAAGACTTGGTTTTATGGTTAGGTTTAGAATTAGGTTTAGTTTAGGGTTAGGGTCATTTCCTTGTGATGTTAAGGTTAGGGTAAGGGGCTAGGGAAGGCATTACGTCATTGAGTGTCTTTACAACTACAGGGAGTGTATTCAGGCTCCATCTAGAGGACAGGTGGTGAATAAGATTGGTTATCCTTTATGGTGAATGAGAGGTGACATTGGTTTATTGCACTTTACACATAAAAAACAGGCATGATTAGTTAAAAGTTTAAGTACCCCTTTGAACCCTGTGTTTTGCAAACATGGATTTGGACAAATGTACACCTTGAGTTGATCCATTACTGTTTGCAACAGTAGACTATAAAATTCTGGTTTCTTTGAAATTAGGTCATTCTTGTAATCTACAGTGGTGCCTAGTTCAAGTAAAGTCATAAAGACAAGCAGCGGAAATGTAATATAGTTTGCACTGGACTTTAAGCTGATCTTTACCAACTCCTGGCTGCAGCTTAAATGTTGGAACAGTTTCACTCTCAATTATTAGGACACAAACTGCAGGGCAAAGTGGATTAAGTCATTAAGGATTGAGGATTTTCTTCCGAGTTGTTTTGTCTCATGTTTATTTGGATATGAAGCAGTTGTTTGTTCTGTCAGGTAAGAGTCTTTAAATCTAAATACCACATACATTTCTGTATCACT